TCGGCCGCGCCGCACGCAGCGCCCTCGCTCCGCGGAGCCCTGCCGGGGAGCGAGCGCGGGTCGCGGCCGCCGTGTGGGGCCGGACGCCCGCGGACGCCCCCGACGGCACACGCTCCCTTCGTGGCCGGGGATTGAGCTTCCCGGCGAAGCCGCAACCTGACCCGGACGCGACCCGGCCTCAGCCATTACGTGAAAACACAAAGTCCCCCCCGTGACGACGGGGCGTCTCGCATCGTGCCGGCGGGATCGCACCGCGCGCTCTGACCGAGGCCGCCACGGCGCGTCTGCCTCCGCTAACGAGGACGGCGGGCGCTCACAGGGGCACGCGGCCCCCGGGTCGTCCAGGAGGCCGACCCCAGTGCGAGTTGGCGGCGGTGCAGGGGACCCTCGGCCCCCCTCCCCCACCCCCCCCGGGTGACGGGGACGCTGGGGAGGCCCGCGGCCCCGCTGGGGCGCGGTTTCGGGGTGCTTCGGCGGCGAGGGTCTCCGCCTGTCAGCCCGTCCCCCACAGGAAATGCTCTCACATCCGCGTCCGGATGCGGGGGTGTCCAAGGCCGAGTGCGTGTGGCCGCTGGTTTCAACGCACCTGCGCTGGCCGGGCCTGCAGCCGCCCGGCCGGAGAGCCACCTGCGGGCGGGCATGCGTGCGTGCGTGCGTGCGTGCGGCCGCGAGACAGGCCCCGGGGGGCCGGCACCCGGGACGGGGCGGGGCGGGGCGGGCGCTCACCTTGATGTTGCAGGCCACCGCCTTGCCGTCCTCGCCCTTGTACATGAGCTTCATGCCGCGCAGGGCACTCATGGCCTGGATGAAGCCCACGTACTCGCGGTACTGCACGTACGCCTCGAAGTTGAGGTGGCCCCCGAAACTGAAGGTGTGGAAGTTGCGGCCGGTCATCTCCTCGCGGTAGGGGTCCAGCATGGGGATGTCCACGTTGCGGATGGCCCCGAACTTCTCGAACACCTTCACCAGCACCTCCTCGCTGGGCTTCTCGGAGCCCGAGTCCTTGAGCGCGAACCACTTGCAGGGCAGGCCCTCCAGGTGGATGGTGTCGGGCCGCTCGCCCGGCAGCGTCTCGTTCATGTCCTTGGCGTCGCGGAAGAAGGAGTCCCAGTCGTGGCGCGTGGGGAAGTCGATCCTGAACTCGGCGGCGCGCACCTTGAGGATGTCGGAGAAGCCGCTGAGCTTGATGGTCTTGCCGTCCAGGCAGGCGAGGAAGGCCTTGACCAGGCTGCGGTTCTCCACCTCACCCTCGAAGCGGATGAAGTCCATGGTGCTCTTGGAGATGCGCAGCGTGGAGAACTGGTGATGCTGCACCATGGCCTTGAGCCTCTCCATAACCTCCCAGTTGGAGATGGACTTGCCCGGCTGCTTCAGCTGCGGGAGCGCCACGCTGATGGTCATCTTGGTGATGGGCTTCAGGTACAGGCCGTACGGGGGGCACAGCTCCACCGCCTCAGACGTGTCGTGCACTATGGTGGCCGCGGCCATAGCCGGGCGCTGGGGCCTGAAACACACACGCAGCGGCGGTCGGGGCCGGGGCCGGGGCCGGGGCTGGGGCCGGGGTCGGGGTCGGGGCCGGGGCGAGGGTCCGCGCGGACAGCGTCAGCGTCCGCGGGCCGCCAGGGGACGAGCGAGTCTGCGTCTCCGCCGGCCTGTAGCTCATCAAAAGCCGCGGCCGCCTGAGACGAGGTTCTGTGTCCTTGAACCGAAGGGAACACAAAACTGGGGTGAGAATCCATCGGAAGAGCCCAGCGGCCAAGCGGCAGCGGTGGGCGCCCAGCCGCAGCCGGCCTGCACGAGCAGGTCTCCCAGGGCCGCAGGGCGTCGAGTGGGCGGGGACACCCACCGCAGCGGGCACACACTCACGCACGGCCCGGAACGCACCCGCGCGCGCCCCTGCAGCTGCAGGCAGGACTGGACAGCGCAGGGCGGGGCGGGGCGGGGCTCCCGGCTCCCTCCCGCAGCGTGGATGGAGGAGGGGGCCCCCGCAGGAACAGGAAGGAAGTTTCTGGCCGAGACAAGATCGGAAGCGTCAGCTTCAGTGACTCTGGGACCGGCGATGTGTCCTGCTTGCCGGGGGCCGAGCGACAAGCGCAGGGCCCTTCCCGGGCCAGCGGCTCCCAGGGCGCACCTGTCCTCCCCCGCCGTCTCCGGGGCAACACTTCCCCACTGGGTGACCGGGGTGGGTGGGGGGGAGGGGTTCTTCCCCCACCGGAAAGCCAGGCTCCGCCACAGGAACCCAAACAATGCAGGTGACCGCTCCCGCCCCCACCCGCGCCCCCACCCACGGGCGGCTCCCTCCCTCCCTCCCTCCCAGGCTTGGGGCCAGGCCCTGAGGCACGGCCTGGGGAGCGAGCGGCCCCCACACGGGCGGGGGCTGGGACAAGGCACAGTCCAGGGCACGGGCGACAGGCTCTGGCCTGGGCTGCGACCCAACACCTGCCCCAGGACACCAAGGGCCACGCAGGGCAGCACCCCCCGCCCCGGTCGCCTGCTCCCCACCTCCCCTGGGGCCCCGTGTCACCCCTGCACAACCCCACCCCCTGTGACGTCACTCCCCCACCCCCAGCTGCCCGACCCCTGGCGTTCCCCGAACCGCCCGCCACCCATTACCCTGGGGCCCCTGGCCCTGCAGCGCCCCAGGACAAGCCCATCCCCCCACCCCTGGGCCATGGCCTCCAGGCCACAAGGGTTGCCCCAGGACCCTTGGCCTCTCCTCTGCCCTCAGGCTCTCCAGCACTGCCCAGTCCTTCACCTTCACAGGCCCCTGCCCCCAGTGCCCCCCAATTGTCTCTGCTGCCCCCAGCCCCCACAGCCCTGAGACCCCCACCCACTGGAGCTCCCAGCCCCCATCCCTTGCACACTCTGTCCCTCCCCCCGCCACTGGCCCCAGGGACCCCCACACCCAGACCACCGCTGCCCTGCACCCTGCAGACCTGGGTCCCCAGCAACCTCATCCCCTCAGACCCGAGCTCCAGGAGCCCCTGAGACCCGGAGTCCCC